TTTCCAACATTTTCATGGTGAGAGCCGAATTTAAAACACCATGTACAAATATTTAGAGTTATTTAAGTTAAGTTATAATGCTTTTTAGCAGGGATTATATATCCCAATTTTATAAGAAAAACAATGACTTCTAAAAATTTATTTTTTAATAATTTTTCACAATTTTTTTAATATCATAATTTTATGGTTAGAATTTTTCTTCTTCGCCAATGTTCTACAGTGTGCTTAAGAGGAAAAACAATTTTGTTATAAAAATTTTATGAAAAATGCATTCTTTCTTCATAAAAAAATTTGCTTGTTCTAAAATGGCTCATGTTTTTAAAATCTTTCCTTGCCGTTTTGGTGAATGGTGATACTAGTTATCGTTGAGTTATTGAAATTTTTTTACGAAAAATATCATATTTTTCCGGCATCAAGTAGCTAAACGAAATAGTATTTAAAGTTTTTGGAAGTTATTTTTGTTAAATATTATAAAAAGTTCTAAAAACTTCTAAACTATTAATTTTTAGAAGTTAATGTTTATCTTAGAATATTGGCATCTATAATACCTCCTCAAAAGTATTTTTCTAGACATTCTTTGCATTCTTATAGAAAAATATCTCCTGCCGGGGACATACTGTATCTACATCCTTTTGTGGTTATCCGCCTTCTCTAAATCGAATTTCCATTTATTTCAATCAGTTGTTTCTCTCGAATAGATCCCGATGTCATCTTGATATCGTCGAACCAACTAATGTATCGAGAGTCTTCCTCTGGACACTGTAGTCTCCAGATAAGTATCCTTTATCAAGAATTCAATGTGTGTCTTGCAATATTTCCTACCTATGTTTGGTGAACAAAATAAGTGAAGTTGAAATAAACACAATTTTGAAATATCAAATATTCACCTAGTTTCGATAATTTTCGATGTTATGAAAATAATTATTTAAAAATTATAGAACCAAATATTAATAAAATCATTTTCATTTTTATATTTACTTTTACTGTGGAAAAAGAATTCTAGACTGTTTTAAGTAAAATATTAATATAAAAAATATTTATTAATAGATATATTTTGTACACACTGTATCTATTTATTGCACAAATAATTGGAAATTTGCATTGATTAAGTTCTTTGTAATTTTTCAACAATACTTTCAGCTTTAATTTAATCTAATCAGGGAATCATTATTACTCCAAATAATCTACTAAAATATACAAAACATATTTTCCTATCACATCTGCCAAATTTCTGAAAAATTATACTTCTAATCAACGATTTTATCAAAATTTACACAACATATCAGACAAAATACTACTTTTTAAGTTAATGACGTCAACTGATTATCAAGAAAAATGAGTGCATAATAGCGAGTTCTATAAATGCAACGCATAAAAATAAGAAACAAGTATACAGTGTCTGCAAAAAAGTTTGCCACGAATGATTTTTTTTATTAATTATATATGTTACTGTAAATGCCCGAAATGTGGCAAAACCTAGGATAAGCGTGCTAAACCTAGGATTTACCAAGAGCATTAACTAATTAGATTAACCTGGTTATTTGGAGGGTGTTAATGCATTGGTTAGCCTGGTTATTTGGAGGGTGTTAATGCATTGGTTAGTCTGATTATTTGGGGGGTGTTAATGCATTGGTTAGTCTGATTATTTGGGGGGTGTTAATGCATTGGTTAGGTGGTTAGGTGGTTATTTGGTGGGGTTTGTTGGTTTTTACTACCACTTGCTGTTGGTACAACAAAAATTAAATATGCCCTCATTGTTTCGCATCTTGGTTTACCTGTGAATATATTATTTTTACTAAAACTATCTAAAGGTTCGTACTTTTACAAAAGTTTAGAAAAAAGATTGGGTGTAGATTTTTGTTTTGTTTTTGTTAACTTCATATATTTTAGCTATGTTCCTTCTAAATTTAGTCATTCTATGATAATTTTTGTTTTCGAACAATTTTTCGAATATTTTCTTTGGTCTGTTCTTAATATCACAAATTACCAACTATTTTTGAAAATATTTTAACTACAACTATTTATTTTACAGCTAAATTCAATATTATTAATCTAATATATTATAAAAAAACTCCTTAATGTAATATTTTAATTCTTATTTAACAATTTTATAAAAAACACAGTATAGTTAAAAAATGAGACTATAAAGTAAATCTTATCCTAAAATTAGTGATGAGCAAATGCAAGGTCAAGAGCAAGAATCCATTGGTCTTGGCCTTACAGTCAAATAAGTAGACTTGGTTTGGCTCAAGGTCTAGTCATGGTCTTGGTCTTGCTGCAAGACCCTTGCAAGTCTTCACTTTTTTAATAGATTTTTAGTAGGGCACTTGAATAAATAGAATAGTAAGTAATTTAATGCAACAAATTTTAAGAGAAAGAAATAATCTTTTCCTGATAAAAATATTTATATTTCAATACGAGTATATTCGTATTTTAAAATAGGAAAACACACTTTGTAAAAAAATGGAAAACACCATTTTTAAAAAATTAAGTAGTTTTTATATTTTTTGGCCACTTTCTGATTTCACCGGAAATGACTACAATTTATGATTTTTAAATGGTATAATTCGATATTTTTTTAATTTATTTCATATTAATAGGAATATAAATATAATATAAAATGATATTCTGAATAGGAAACTGCGTATACTAACATACAAAATCTCTTTTTTTATCTGAAATAATAACAAACTTATAGGGATGAGCCACTTTTGAAAAATATCCCATAGAGTGACACAATTTGACTGGTAGATAAAAAATGTCAAAACATTTTTCAAAATTTTAATAAATAAGGGCGCTGGTGTCTAAATTGACAGGTAAACCAAGTCACGCAACTATGTTAGCATACTTTCTTTTGTTAGCAATCGGTTTTTAGACATGTAAGAACTAACTGCATAGAACAATTTAACTCTTTTCTAATAATAAAAATACCACTTTAAGCAATTTTTTTGCGCACACTGTATGCCTAACATTAATCCGAAGCTGATAAGACTGGTACTGCGTTTTCGCTAAATGACTAATTAAATTTTATCGATCGTTTGAGTAAATAAATTTATTCTCGTGCTGGTAAACGTGACTGTGAAAAACTATCAATTAGTTTAAAATAAAAATTAATTTTAAGATGTCGCCAGGGTTCTCCCTCGGCGTCAAAGCAGTAAAAGTTAAAAAATGATAAAATATTGATAAGAATAATATAAACTACAATTTCAAAAATAGGTTGATAAGATTAGAGACAAAGTCGGTGTTAATTCAAATTAATTCAATAAAAATATAAAATTTATTATTTTAAACTTTTAAAACGACTAAATTGTTCTTTTAAATGCTGGCAATATGTTAAGCAAGGCCAAGATCAATACTAGCGTTTGATCTGCATGACTAAGACCAAGATCGACCAGTGCAAGACTTCCGCAAAACCAAGACCAAGCATGTCTTGGTCTTGCGGTTTTGCATTTATATGAAGAAATTATTTATTCGTTCAAAATAATTAATTTAATTAATTACAAATAATGATTTGGGTTAGGTTACTGATTTTATATGATCTAAGGTATTTTATATCTGATTGCAAGCGTTCACTATTTCTAATTCAAACCCGGTTTTTATCGTCGCATATTTTTGAGTTCACTCCAGAATGTTGAAGAATGGAGAAGGAACTGGATTTGTTGATCATGGAAACCCTCGAGTTATTTCGAGGTGAGCTTATAGAATATTTTCCGAAGAAATCATTCATGTTCATGTTGTTTTTAGGGTCCTACGCTTTACTACGCTTACGTTTTTAGCTCCTATGCTTTCCTTGTAGAAACATTGTACTTTTCGTAGGAATATGAAGCTTTCTGTGTTTCTCAGAGGCATGCTTAGTGTAAAGGTTAGTCTATATTATATGACTATATTCAATCTGGATCTGGATTTAATAATATCCTTTGTTCCCTGACCCTTGTTTATGTGATTCGTTCTACAATATATGCCGGATAGGTGTGGAGATGCTCAACACTATATCTTGCTGACGCTGCTGAGACAGGACAACGAACAGATAATTTCCAACCTTACATTTTATCGATAGCATGTGTTTCAATAGTAATATTATCAGACTTAAGTCATACTCGTGCAGATTTTACGTCTTGGTTTAGCATATGCTCATCACTAATTTACAGTTAATTAGTGTAAAGCAATACAAAACTATCAAGAGTGAAAGAACAGTATTTTTTTTGTCGGTACCATTATTAGTAAAATAATATCAAGATAAGGTTTTAGAATTCTACTGTGTAGTTGTATAAAATTATAAACTCTGTCCAACTAGTGATTTAATGCAATCTATACCTGTGAATCCCTGTGTTTTCCCCAAAGCTGTTTACAGCAACATTAGAAAAAATCTTTCGTCAACTGGACTGGAAAATGATTAAAAATAGATGGAGAATATCTTCTATCAAACCATCTAAGATTCGCTGTTGACATAGTCGTAATTGCCAATAGTTCTGAAGCTAATTAGCAACTACAAGCAAAAATTAATGAACTAAATACAGACAGCAATGGAGTGGATCTCAAAATGAATTTATCAAAACCTAAAGTAATGTACAACGAACTAGTGGAAATGAAAGGCATTCTAATAAATATCACAAGACTGGAAATAGTAATAGAATATATATTTGGGGACAACTACCTAATACACAGCTCGGGATTTCTACTACCAGAAATCAACAGAAGAATTAAGTTAGCATGGAGTTCTTATTGGAAGAAACTCAATCAGACTCAAATTTAGAATACCACTCTATCTAAAGAAGAAAATATTCGACAAATGTGTACTCCCAGTTTCATACTGGACTCATAAAACGGACATCATAAGAAAACTGCAAGTCCCACAACGTTCAATGGAACGAAATATGCTGGAAGTAACCAAGAGAGACCGTAAAAGAACAGAGTTGATACAAAAGAAGACCCAGGTAATAGATGTCATCCACAGAGTTAAATCCCTCAAATAGCAATGGACAGGACACCTAGTAAGAAGAATGGATAATGGATTTACCACAACAGAACCACAAAAATTACAGCATGGTACCCACGAAAAATTTAGAGACCTAGAATACACCAGGGCAGTTAGCAAAAATAGGGGAAGTTTTTGCAATCAAGCTGATTTTTTTCACAGATGATAGTACTCATTAACAGTACTATGTAAAAAAAAGTTACACCTAGATTTCTTGCTTTCTCTGCCATGTTGAATTAAAGGTGGCATCTGATCCGATTCTTTAAAAGAATTGTAACTTTCTTATTTATTAACCGATTTTCGTCAAGTAAAATTACCTTTTTTTGGACTAAAGAATGAAATAAAAATATAAAACTATTTTGACAGGTTGTTTTTCTGTCAAAAATAAAAAAGGGAAAATAATAAAAGAAATCGACTTGCTTTTCTTCAATTTTTTTGAACCGTACTCTGTAGCAAAAAAGGTTAAAGAATATGCGCTCTTTTGTTCTTATTTTGAAACAGTCCTTGAGTTTGTGATAGGTTGAGTAGTGCGAGAGATATAGTGTATAGTGTATTCTTAGGATACAAACAAAAATAAAACTTATGCAGGATGTAAAATTACTTTATTTTTTGCTCGATTGACATAAAATATTGACATAAATGCCAGTTGCCTTTGGTTTTAGGTTAAACATATGAATTAAAAAAAAACATTAAAAATAAATTTAAAAAAAAAAACAGAAAAAATTGTTATTCTTAATAATAGATAATAATAAACACTGAAATTTTTTTATTCCAACAAAAAAGTATAAATTCAACTTTTAATAGCGTTTAACTACAAATACCGAAGGGTGTCTCACTGTTGGAATTACATGTACATTTTCTTGGCAGTTGCTGGCAATCTTTGGCAGTCTTACGGCAGTCGCCTATAATTACATGGCACTCATAGGCAGTCGCTCGGCAGTCGATTGGCAGTCGCTTGGCAGTCGCTAGGCAGTCGCGGCAGTCACTGGCAGTCGCTAGGCAGTAGCGGCAATCACTGGCAGTCTCTTGGAATTCAGAAGTCAATCGGCAAATTTCGGGATGTTTTGTATAAAAACTTGTCAATTTTGAAGCAAATATATATATTTTTTTTCAATTTAATGTAAAAAAAACTTGCAGCATAATTCTAGTTTAACAAAATATATATAAAACGACTCATGTGATGATCGGGTAGAAGAAATATTTTCTCGAAAATTTCACATACATTCAGATAGATTTTTGTTTTATGGTTAATGATGTCAAATTAATTCATAATAACTGCAGTATAATAGATAATGAAAAGCTAACGGCTTCAAGGTATATCAAAAATGTTTTGGTTTTGTTTTTTTAACGCTTTTTGGAACAAAATGTTAAACAGAAAAGTTATAGGGAAGGTTAAGAAGCACCTTTTAAAATTACTGTAGAGTATACAGGGTACTTCAAAAAATGTTTGGATTTGTGATTGTTGATTGTCGTTCGGATATAACATATATTTTTAATGAGAATACCCTATTTTTATTTTAGAATTAGATTCTACCTACAATTCGGTAACTTTTTTGCATATCGAAGGTCACAGTGCAGTAACTCGTATCATTTTTTAAACATACCAAATTTTATATTAAATTATTATAATTATTTTTAAACGAATTATCTTATAGAGCCGAGATATCAATACTTCATTATCAAATGAAATATTTTGAATTATTTTTGTGAAATATCGCAAAAATTGTTTTAAAAAATAATATAATTTTATTAGAAAATCATACGAGATCCATGCCTTGTAACCGAGCTTGTGACCCTCAATATGATATTATATATTAAAATTAATAGATTTTGTAATAATTCAATTAGCTTAGAGAAATGTTAGATTTCGATATGGTAAAAATGATCAGTGACGCAAAATTTGTAGATTCTATCAGAAAAAATTATAATACATACTTTTTTACTGGTACGACTAATCCCGGTTATACACTGCGCGTTTTTGTGGTTGCCGCAGAAACGCGCGGCACTTTCTGCAAAATAGAAACCCTGAATAATTTTTAAATTTCTCATTTTTATAAAAAAAAATAATTTTTGAAATTTCAACCAAAGAAATACAAATATACCCATCTATATATGATTCGAGGATAACAATTATAAAAATTTTGGCGTAGGAGTAAATCTCGAAGTAAATAGGTCCAAGAAAGTTGCCTAATCAGGGAAAAAACAAAATTCTTATAATTTTCATCTTCGTAATTGGAAGGCATTGTTTATTTCTTCTATTAAAATTTCGTAGTTGGTAAAAAACGCGCCATAATTACGCATCGACTGCGATTTCACTGGTTTCATCAATAGTTCTTCACTGGTTAGCTTTATCGTCAAACACTTTAAAAACATATGTGGCTAATAGAGTTGCACAAATACAGGACAACACAAAGGATGATATTTGGCACCATGTATCCACAACATTTAATCCAGCAGATATTATATCTCGGGGACTACAACCGAATGAGCTTCTACACAATCATTTGTGGTGGCATGGACCCTCATTGCTTCAGGAAGTTCCATCACAATGGCCATCTACCTTTCCAGAGGTACAAATCGCGCAGCAAGTTGATTTAGAGACAAAATCAACCATGAATGTTCTAGCCTGCACAGGTCAGTTTAACATATTTTAACATTGAAAATGTTTCTGTTATCCTATATAAGGGAGCCCAAATCGAATTAAAATGCTACATTTGCCACACCATGACGTCATATATACAAGGGTATAGGAAATCTCGGCGCAGCGGCGGCAGTCGGCCAGCGCGCGCAAAAACCATTACATCGCTAATTGTTTATTGATATATCTTTATTAGTTTAAAAGCAAAAAATATGGGGTTTGCTTTGATACCTTGTCAAGACATAAGCGAAACTTTTAAATTGTTTCTTTTTTTCAGTTAGGCCTTCGTTTTCGTTAAATGAAAGTTATATTAAAAAAATCTATTTTTAAACCAAATTTTCGCATGATTGAAATGATTATTCATGTTTAAAGTTTTTTTTGGTCATAAGCGCTAATGGAAATGTTTTTTGTAAATAATTATAAAAAATTACTCCCTACGAAGACTTTATTGTGTACTGGATCAAAAAATTAGTATTTGTTTTCTCTATACGGTGGTATTAATATATCGATTTTTGATGATAGTGCCCTTTACCCGGTCTAATTTTGTACTACTTTCGGAATAAGGGTCCCCATATCATGTACTGTACTTCCATCCCTGAAAAATTCAGCTTGTGACACCGAAGTGAGAGGTAACGTCAAAATAAGCTTTAATCTACCTACATCATAGGTAGGTGTAGGTACTCTAGGTATATTCTACCTAGACAGTAGCTGAACTAGCTGACAGTAGTAATTAATTTGTTATCCGATAAGTAGTTGTCATTATATAAGTTTAATCATCTTATACCTCCTATAACGGTAGGTTTTGGATTTTTCCTGATTGGTTTGTTAAACAAAAATATACTGGGCATATAAATGTCTGTTACAGGTTAATTCGTTAAAGAAATATGTTACACACATATTATTTTAATAATAATAGTATAATAGTAATGGCTATATTATGTTATAACACATACATATGTATTGAATGTACTTATTTTAACCAATGCATTGTTTTGTTTTTTTAATCTCACAAATAAGAAATGTTTTATAGTTTTTATTATAAAAAACAGTGATTATACAATTTATTTACACCCCTTACACTGTTTTCTGTAAGGGGTGTAACCAGGAGTATATTTCGTAACCTCTTACGATATAAGAGGGCACAAAGTGTTTTATTACTTAATGCTTAAAATTTAATAATATATTTGTACATAAAATAAAATAGACTAGAAAGTCAATTAATTAATATTGACGTAATTACTAAATAAGTACAAGATTTTTTTTCTAATTATTTTAGTGTATTTTTAGTCACCTAATTATAAAGGAGAGATATCCAACCATTGCATTATTTTACTCACAAATAAATGTTTTATGGTTTTTATTATAAAACAACGATTAATTTATTATACACCCCTTAACCCAAACACTCCAAGGAGGATATTTCGTGACCCCTTATTTAAAGTGGACAAGCTTTATTAGTCAATGTTTTAATTACCCAGCGTCTTTAATAAAAATCTAATGTAATTTTTCATAGAAATGATCTGACATAAAAAGCAAATTTTATCAAAAAACTTTTTGATTATCTACAAGGAGTAAACCGCTGACAAATGTCTGTATACTAATGCCAAAGTAATGCCAAAAATACAAATTAAATACCAAAATTTCTCATATAATGCCCCACTAATGCCAAGCTGATTCCAATATAATACCACTAATACCACGAATAATATGTAACACATTTGTTTCACGAATTAACCTGTAACAATACTGGTAGGTACGTGCACAGATTTTTTCCTAGGTAACTTAAAAGTCGTTAAAAAGTCTAATTATATTTAAAGAAGATATAATTCCAACAAATTACATTATAAGGCCAATAATGCACAAGTAATACCATTAAAATTTTAGCGTTTTTAACTTGTGTAACATATTTCTTTAACGAATTAACCTGTAACAATAGTGGTAGGTACGCGCACAGATTTTTTCGCTAGGTAACTTATTAAGTCGTTAAACAGGCCTATAAAAGCTATAACAACATAGGTAACTAATATTTATAATTTAATTCGAGTTTTAATCTCAAATAATAAATGTTTTTACTGGTGTATTTCTGAAGTGTTCATTATTAAAAGTAGATATTCTTCAAGTTATGCGAAGTAATAAGTAATGTTTCCGGTGAGACCGCGTATATGTCACCGGATTCTGGTTAGTATAAAGACTTTTTCTATAGAAAGAGTTTTTTCTATATTTTCCTTTCAAAATAAGACTAATTTCTTCTTATTCTTTTAAATATTACAGTGTTTCTTTTTCCTAAAATGTTATACTTAATTTTCGCTTAAAATTAAAAAATCACAAATGGAGGAAAATATACGTTATTGAATAAAGTTTATACAAATCACTTTACCATAACAAAAAAGTAAAAACATGTCATGGCGGAAGATATTCAGGTGGCATTTCACACATTTATCTATTAAAATCGAGATTAAAATAATAAACTTGCGTAACATGTTATACACGAGATAGAAAGTTTCAGAATCGATTAATACGCAATACGCTACGCAGTCAACTTATTCCTATGCGCGGATGAGCGTCTTCAAGACTCTTCCTTCGGCCAGGGTCACGACGCCGCCGAAGAGGAATCGGCCTACGTTTGGCTAAACAGGCTGGACACGGTGGAGTACGATATTGGCGAGTCTGAATATTTATAAAAATTTGCAAAGTAAAATATGTTGGAAAAATAATTAGTCCATACATATATAAAAGCTCAAAGGGTTTTTTTGTTGCATCCATCCCGCCGAAAGCGCTTTACCAATCTTGATGATTCTTTTTTTAAATGAAAGGTATATATGTGTAGATTTGTTATGAAGTATTTTTATAGTGCTTAATGGCTATTTCTTTGTGTAAAACGACTAAATACTAAAACATACCTGAAAACACCTACACACAATACCTCCAGAAATAAATTAGTTGTCATTGTCAGTGGTGTGTCAGTTAGATTATATATTACGTTTTTAGATATTTTAGAGTGAGTTGATGCCGCCAGCTTTAGATACATAAATATTAGCACAAAGGTTCGTTTAAACGACATTAGTGAATTAGCTACACAAAGCGATTTTAGGAAATTCATCCTCTTAGAGAGTAAAATTATCTCGGAACAGTTTGTTGTATGAAAATTCCTTACTATTTCGTCTAGAAGAATGAAATCCTACAAAAAGAATTAGAAGAAATTTTTGAAATTCATCAACCAAATGGGTAAAGTTAGTAAAAATTTATATAAAACTTGGTGACGTCTGGATTATACACATAAAAATTGGCACAAAGGTAAAGCGAATTTATGAAATTTATACCCTTAGGGAGTAAAATAGGGAATGAAAGTTTGCTGTACGAAAATGCAATACTATAACATTATAAACCAGACAGTATAAAATTTTATACAAGGGTTTATTTAGTGACATCATAAGGAAATATATCTTCCTCAATTATCCTTCAAAGAATAAAAAATAACCTATAAAGAGAGTATTAGTGCTCTTAATAAATAAAAAAAAGATGAAAAATAAAAAACATCTATATGTTCACTAGCTCTCTATAAAGAAGTAAAAAATCATTTAAATCAATGCATAAACGATTCGAGGTGTAACGCGAACGTAGTTGCGAGAAAAAGCTAGTAATTTATTAAATTATTTTATTTAACTCATTAATTTTCATTGAAAAGGAATTTTTGTAATTCGCCACTATATTAGTTAAAAACTAAGAAACTCATATCAAATTTAAGTTTTGCGATTTTGACTTATACTTTTTATAAAATCTGAACACATTTTAAAAGAAAAAAAGTTTTTGATAATATTTGTGTAGATTGACTACAAGTTGTATAACATAAATTTCTACGACCGGTCTACCTAGTAGTCTGCAGCATCGCCTTGTGTGCAAACGTGGGCCTGTTAATCTGTGACGTGACGCACAACAGCCAAGAAAAACAGAAGCGTGGCTAAGAATTTAGTAATTTAAAAAAAGTCTTTTAGATACAGTAGTAGGTATTAAAAAGTTTTGTGTTTAAATGGGTTTGCCTTTAACAGTTAAAAAATTATATCGTAAAGTGTAACTTTCCGTAAGAATTCTTTATCTGTCATTGATCATGATTTGTCATCATGTTAACCTGATGTTTTGTATGTTATTTTGTTTTTTTCGAGGTTTTTTTGCTTGCTTGTTTTACGGATAGGTGCGATCGCATAATTATTATTGATAATGTTTTATTTAATGTTAACACTACTACTTTTTCAGTGAATCTTTAAATCTGTTGTTTTTTGGTAAGTTCGTTATTTAAACATATGTATGTAATACACTCATATTAACACTAATCATATTTTTACGTTTTTATTCATCATTTTCAATGCCCCCCCGGTTGCATCTTTGTAAAGGACTGTGAATTTTTAAGGTATTCGTCACTCAATAGATTAAAGGCTGTTATTGCATATTGTCTGAGATTTGCACATAATACTCGACACACATCTCAGAAGATTACAGGAAGATTAAGCGCAAGGGAGCTATATCAAGCACTAAGGGTATTAGTAAAAATTGCACAGAAAGAGCAATTTCTTGAAGAATGGAAAGACTTGAAAATAAAAGGACAAGTCCATCGAAAGAGTAAACTCATCACGCTCAATCCTTTCATAGATACAGAGGATCTTATTCGAGTTGGAGGCAGAATGTCACACGCAAACCTTCCGTATTCTCAAAAGCACCAGTTATTGTTACCAGCAAAACACAAACTGACTGAACTTATTATCCATAATGAACACATCTCACTTTTACATGCTGGTCCACAAGCAGTATTATCATCACTTCGTCTACACTTTTGGCCTTTATCAGGGCGAAGAGAAGTACGAAAGGTAACACACAAATGTATCACTTGTTTTAGACACAAACCTACATCAACTAATCCCATAATGGGCCAATTACCTACACCTACAGTAACTCCAAGCAGACCCTTTCACGCAGTTGGGTTAGATTATGCTGGGCCGATTTCTATAAAGGAAAGTCACAGGCGTGGAAGAGTTCACACTTTTCAATGTTATGTTGCAGTATTTGTCTGTCTTGCATGCAAAGCTGTGCACCTGGAATTGGTAAATGGTCTCACAACCGAGTCATTTCTAGCTGTATTCAAGCGTTTTATGGCAAGAAGAGGGAAACCTACACATGTCCACTCAGACAATGTCCACTGCCACAAATTTTGTAAAGGCGAATAAGGATTTACGTTCCATGATTGAACACCTACAAAATCATACTGATTGGAACCAAATAGAAGACTTTGCCGCCAAGGAACCCATCACTTGGCATTACATTCCTCCGCGATCACCAACTTTTGGAGGCCTGTGGGAAGCTGCGGTCAAATCTGTAAAATCACATATGAAAAAGATAACCGGCACTGCAAATCTCACATACGAAGAATATGTAACATTGTTAACACAAACTGAGGCATGCTTAAATTCACGACCTCTCATACCTGCTTCTAATGACCTTAACGATCTCACCGTCCTAACCCCTTCCCATTTTCTTCTTGGGCAACCACTCAATCTCACACCAGATCCAAATTATAAGGACCATCCAGTGCACTTACTAAGGGTAACATCTATGGCAGCGGTGGTCAGCCGACTACTTGAACCAACTTCAAGAGCGAAGCAAATGGTGCCAACAACCAACCACAGCAGTCATCAAGATAGGTAGTTTGGTATTACTTCGAGAGGACAACCTGGCTCCATTACAGTGGCGGTTAGGACGTGTCACCCAAGTGTTTCCGGGTCGCGACGGTAGTGCGTGTCGTTGAAGTGAAAACGTTCCACGGCTCAGTGAAACGTGCAGTTAATAAGGTTTGCTTATTACCATTAGACATCTAGTGATTCAGTTGAAAGGCTGGTTGCTTTCAAGGCGGCCGGAATGTCGGATCTTTCAAATGAAACCAGCGAGCGAGTGGCAACCTTGCGAAGATTGCAGCCACAAGGGTAGTAACTTTGAAAACGCGCAACGTGAAAGACTATTTTTGAATTTGATTAGTTTTTTCTTATTTATATTAGTAATTTCAGTAAATACAGTCCGCTAAAATTATCAAGGGTAGTTTCATTCCACAATCACAAAACAGATTTATAAAACTTTATTCGTAAATAAGATGTTTCCTTGCATTTGAACTTCGTTTGAAAAAGTACATAATGATTGATAATCAAAATCGAGAAAATGCAGTTCCAATTTCCATGTTTAATAACAAAAGTTAATTATCAAATTTTCATGCATAGCTATTCAATTGAAAAATTCTCAATCAATACTCTTTCAGTTCCAGCGTACACACTAATACAAATACGAAATTTATGAACACAATAATAAAATTAAATTTCGCAATAAAATGATTAATGCATTATTAAAAAATAGTATGGAAATTAAAGATAATATTTCGAGCAAATCTGTTTCCCATAGCAACAAAATCAAATTAATTTTTACTGAAAAATATATTATTATTTTCTAGACTCGTGTTAATATATTGTTTAATTTTCGGTATTGTAATATCAACCTTATCTCACCAAACTCTAAGTTGTTTGAACTTATCGACCTATTCAATTACTTCATGGTGGTGTGGTAAGATAAGGAATCAATAAACCATTCATATTTTTAGAGACAAGTGATGATATAATGGGAAAATATAATTTGAATTAATTATATGAGTATACAGAATGGTGACAATTTCGATGCTCATCCAATATCTCGAAAATTATAAAAATCTTGCCTCTCAAGTAAATTCGTTTCATATCTCACTTATATTTTTTCGTAGTGCAATATTTCTGACTAGAGTCTATTAGATTTTGGACAAGATGTAAAGTATTTTGTTATATATAGTTGTCATATTAAATTTATAAACCATACTATACCGGGTGCGTCTCAAAAGTGGCTCACCCCTATAATTTTTTTATTTTTTTAGATAAAACAACGAGATTTGGTATTGTATCGGTACTACTGCTTGAGAGCACCAAATCCAAAATTGAGAGTAATATTCAAATTACTCTCGAATGTGTAATTAATTTCAAAGTGGATCCAGTACACGTCGCAAAAAAACTACTAGGGTCAACAACAACACGTATATTGGCAAATGATAAAACTTTAAAAACGGTAAATCAAACTGAAATTAAACAAATTCACTGCAGCTTCCCAGTAACTTAAAGGTAAACTTGATATATAAAATACCTACAATAAATAGGTGAGAGAGAGAAATAACATTGCCTAACTGAGGCGAGAGTAATATTGCGAGAATTAGCGAAAAATGTACAATTCAGAGACTAAAATTAATAGGCGTGATGCTGCCTGAGAGGGTTCACGGGCGTCTCCTCGTGACAAAATAGAAAGTTAAGATCTGCCATTCGAACAAGACAAAAAAAACACATGGCCGTCAAGGGTTGTATTTTAAGTGTTTTGCAGGTCAATTTAGCGAAGCGTGTGAAAGCATCCCTTCGTGATCAACTTTCTATTTTGTATACATTAGGTAGTAGGATAATTTTAACATATTTACAAAACTAATACTAGGTGTTCATCAAAATAGTAAAAAAAACAAATGCGTTTGAATTGTATTCGAACATACTCCCCGCCTTAAAGGCTCTGCCTTTAACCGCAAACAACAGGGTAACTGAGGTATGATGAATCATCAATTGCATTTTTACAATATATCTAAACAATCTAATTCTTAGCCGTACGCGACAAACTTAAATCAAAATTTAAAGGAAACCTACTATAAAGAAAATTATTTTATGTTTAGGGCTAGTTATCGAGTTTGGGTAGGGGACATAATTTAGTGACGTTTCTTGTTAAAATGCCATTTTTAGATTTTACTTTAACAAGTCTAACATTTCCGTCCTTACTGGGTATAATTTCAAGTACCCTAGCCAGAGGCCAGTCTAGAGGTTTAGTGTTAATTTCCTTTAAGAAAACTATGTCGTTAACTTGAAGGTTTGGTGAGGGGTATAGCCATTTTGGTCGATTCTGGAGAAGATTGAGGTAGTCTTTAGACCATTTGGACCAAAACTGTTGTTGAATTTTGACACATCGTTCCAGCGATTAAGTCTATTTTCTGAAATATTGGAAAGGTCTTTTTCTGGGAAAGAGGTCAACGAAGTTCCTATCAAGAAATGTCCCGGGGTTAAACAAGTAAAATCTGAGGGGTCAGAGGATAAGGGGAGAAGAGGTCGTGAATTTAATATTGCCTCAATTTGTGTGAGTATTGTATATAACTCCTCAAAAGTAAAATTCTGCTGTCCTGCTAATCGCCTTAAATGATATTTGGTACTTTTGATTCCGGCTTCCCATAAGCCGCCCCAATGGGGAGAATGTGGGGGAATAAACTTCCAGTTTATCTCATTGCATACCAATAAATCATTTATCTGTTCTTGGGTTGACTTAGACTTGAATAGAGTGTAAAATTCTCTGAGTTGGTTTCGTGCACCTAAGAAATTTGTTCCATTGTCACTAAAAATGACATGTGGATTTCCTCGCCTTGAAATGAATCGTTTTAATGAAGCCAAAAATGCTTCTGTAGAGAGACTTGACACCAATTCTATATGTATAGCCTTGGTAACCATGCAAACAAATAATGCTATGTAGCATTTTTCGGTTTTTGAGCGTCTAAGACTCGACGATTTCACAAAAAAGGGGCCACCAAAATCTACACCTGTGCGTGAAAATGGCCGAGAGGGAATGACTCTGTCTTTTGGGAGATCAGCCATCAGCTGTTGATGGTTTTTTATTTTGAATCTACAACATGTCATACATTGCAAGCATTCCTTTTTGATTTCCCTTAATCCATTTAGGGGCCAATATCGGAGGCGAAGATTTGACAAGACAGTTTGAGGACCAGCGTGTCCGAGTCTAATATGCTCTTTAAGTAAGAGTAGTTTGACAACGCGATTTTTTGAGGGCAATAAAATGGGAAATTTTTGATCATATGGGACTAGAGCTTGTGATAATCTTCCTCCTACTCTGATTACATTTTCTCCATCGATAAATGGATTTAATTTTAATATTTGTTTGTCCGATATCTTCCGAGCTGGACTTTTTAACTCGTTTAGTTCTTTTGAGAAATACGTAGACTGAATTGTTTTTATTATGAAAAGTTCAGAGTTTCTTAATTCATCAACAGTGAGAGGTCCAATGAGTTTTTGAGAATTAGCGCGACTATTATTAATAAACCTTAATATAAATGCAATAGATCTTCGTAATTTGGAATAATTGGAAAATCGGTCAAACAGTGTTTCCCAGAAATTATCATTCCTGAGGAGTAAGACAGTACTTTCCTTTCTTTCTTCTTCGTGAGTTGGAGGTACCTTGATATTTAGTGAGTCTAAGTCGAAATCAAAGGTTTGTAGAAACTGTGGTCCATTCCACCAAAGAGAAGAGTTCATTATTTGCTCAGAAGTTGTACCACGAGAGAGGCAGTCAGCAGGATTTTCTGCACCAGGGATGTGCCGCCAAACATAATTATTAGTGAGAGATTGGATCTGCGATATTCGGTTAGCAACAAACACATTGAATCGTGAAGAATCAGCCTTTAGCCATGCTAGAACAATCTCTGAATCTGTCCAAAGATTCACGCTATGAAAATTATACCTATCCTTAAATATGGATTTGACACGACTAATCAAAGTTGAAAGCAATAGAGCACCACAGAGTTCTAATCGGGGTATTGTAACTTCCTTGATTGGAGTTACTCGAGATTTTGAAGTAATTAAGTAGCATGATACAGAATTATCAAGGTAAATAGTTCTCAGGTAGACACAAGATCCAAAGGCCTTGCGACTGGCATCACAAAATCCATGAAGTTCAACAGAAGATATCTGGTTATCGTGGAATATATACCGGGGTATTTTTAAACACTTGAGTTGAGTAATATTTTGAAAATAAGAATTCCATATTGTGAGAAGACTATCGTTCAAATATTCGTCCCAGCCAATCTTTGCCTTCCAAATATCTTGCATGAATATTTTAGCATTAACTATTATAGGGCCAATTAATCCTAATGGATCGAACATTTGCGCGATTTTTGATAAAACATCCCGTTTAGTGGCTGATGTGCAAATTGCAACATCGGGTAGCGATATAGAAAATACGTCAGCTTCTGAATTCCATGAAATACCTAGAACTTTGTTTGAAACTCCTTCTACTTTAATGTCATATGCCTGTACGTCGGAGGATACATTAGAAGAATTAACGATTTTTAAAAGAGAATTCGAATTTGAGCACCACTTGTGCAGCTTGAAATGCGCGCCTTTGCATATTTCGTTCAATTGAAAATACAGGTCTTTTAACTTATCGAGAGTGTCTTGACCACACAAAAGATCATCAACATAGCACTGTGAGAGGATTGTGTCAGCGGCAAGAGGGTATTCTTCCTTATTTAAGAATGCCAGCTCGTTTAGAACACGAGTGGCTAAATATGGAGCGGAGTTAGTACCATAAGTCACTGTTTGCAGCTCAATACATTGAAAATCATGAGCGGGATTACTACGCCAGAGGATATTTTGCAAGTATGTCTGACGTGGGTTCACTCGGACCTGTCTGTACATTTTCTCAATGTCGGCAGTGAGGACGAATTTGAAGCTTCGGAATCTCAGCAAAATATCATAAAGATCAGGTTGAACTGTGTATCCTTTGTACATTGTATCATTTAATGATAATCCTGATGACGATTTCATAGA